CGCACGCGAATCAAGAACACAGGCGCGAAAAACTCTCGAGGCACTCTGGATTAATTCCAGAAATTCGAAAATGAACCGCAAGGAAGAATGCCTCATTATCACGCGTGATATAGGGCAGTATATAAAACTGCTATTCTGATGGGAGGTGCGCATTATACTTCCATGTGATTTCTGTGCGGTTGGTCTCTACGTGACATACTTAGTGGAGACCTCATAGAAAGCGGTGAGTGTGCAAAGCTGTGTTCAAAGTGATTGAAATCTTGGTTTGGAGTTTCTTTGTTTGGTTATGGAGGCGTCTGGCCGAGTGAGTTGCTATCAACTTGACCTTTCCAGGCTCTGAAGAAGGCGAAATTCGCCGAAACGTCAGCTTAATCGTGAACAAAGAATAATAACACCTCGCGTTTGCTCAGCAAAAGTGCGAACAAAATCACTTGATCAATGCCGAGGTTAGTAGAAAGTCGGTCGTGGCAGTTGTGATAAGCCAAACAAGATGTACCCTACAAAATCAACACTCAACCGGCTTTTGACGCACTTTCGGATTTGAGAAGCGCTGCTGAGCTTCATCGTGATCCATCCAATGAGTCGGCCGTCGCTGGCCTTCGTGTACGGTTCATTTCTCACGGGGTCTCACAATGCTGCCAAGAAACGCTCACCCTTGTTGTGGAGAACAAGCGCTGATGGTTCTTAATCATTGCGATCTCTTTCCCATTCAATTCGCGCGGCATACATTCAAGCTTTTTCGACTTTCTAAAATTCCTTAGATGTTTACAAAAGATTGAGATGCTTACATAAAGTTCGTCTGAATGTTCTCTATCAATTGTTCATGTGTTTCCTTTCTCTGTCATTAGAGAAAAGAGTTTGCGATCTTCCTTATATTCAGTGTCAAAATTTTTGCTCCCACACCTCATTGATGTTTCCCGCCGTTTTCGCTGTGCTACGGGCAACTTTTAGTTCGTCGAATTAAAACAGTCAGGTTTCGATCATGCTGCGGTGAAAAGAGGTGGCCTATCTGTAAAACAAACTCCTTTTCCCTATCACCTTTGCTTCTCCGTTTTCCCCATAGCAATACCGAAAAGAAGAACGAACACCTACGCAAAGGAATAAGTTTAAATCGAAATTACGAGAACAAAAAGTGAATCACAACGTTGCTGAGATATTTGCAAAACTCTGGACCGCAGGTGTCTATGGTGGGGAACGAACGCGCTATTGTCCTTTCCGGGGAGTAACGCGTTCACCACCACACCATGCGGGTCCTTCGTTTCGCCTGTCTCTCAGCTATTTCTATCGATCTTTTTGCCACAGCAATCACCC